AAAGGTCTGGGGAACTATGGATGTAGAGGCAGTTATGATACACTAAAAAGAGCAAAAACTGACAGGGTAAGCCTTGGTTTCTAGTTTCACTGAACTACATGTAAGACTGGCCAAATCTCAATCTCCATGGGCCCTCATTCTTTAATAATAAAATGAGATGTAACTATAATATCCCAAGATATCTTTTCCAGCTATAACATTTCATGACTGAATAATGTGACTGGTTTGAAAAGGGTCCTGGGGAGGGAGGAGAAGATGAGGAAGAAATGCAATAGATTATACATTTTGTATTGTTAATTGGGGGTATTGTTAATCAGGGGCATCATGATGTACTATATAATTAACTAAAAAACTTCGTGGAACTTCATTTGCAAGTAATGCCTACACAAGCCATCTGCTTGTCCACAAATTTGTCAGTACTAGTATATAAACAGCATTTATGTCTTCCTTTCTAGGTCTTTTCCCATAAAGAACTAACGCTTTTAAAGTTCTTGACATCTTTCAGAGGTGACATATAAGTAATGACCACCTAATCTAAAAGCTAAGCAGTTGGCTACACTTATTTATCAGCTCCATAACTTACTGGTCCACACCACTCTTATGGTGTAGAAGATTCAAATTCATGACTCACCAAAACTACTATGAATGGTTTAATTCAGAAAACACTCTATCTGTGCATGATGAATTCAGGAACACCAAGAATCTTTTTAATTTCTCTTTCCTCTTCTATTCATGAATAGAAAGACAAGAGAAACCAGTAAGAGAATAGGGTCTCGAGAAATGAATACTCCTCTTTCTCTTCTGTCATCAAATCTCTTTAATAAGGAGAGTCAAAATATACAATTAATAGGATGAGCAAAGCAGGTTCAGAAGACTCCACTAGGAGGGTGGGGGGAGCACTGAAAGCAATGACTACTTTAGAAGAAAGGCTAGAAGTCCTACACTAATGCTATAAAAGCACATTTGTGAGCATTAATGACAGCCACAGCTAATGGAGGAAAAAAAACTGCTATCCAACAGGCTAAGAATAGAAGTTGCAATGAGATGTTGATAACAGTAAAGGATTAGCAGGAATATTCCTGAAGTATACATAAGTACTTTGATTTACTATTCTGTGTATATGTTTTATCAATAGTATGTATGCTTAATGTCTATACTTAGTTGCTCTATTTTTTATAACAATCCAGAATACCCAATTGCACGCAGTCTCTTGAGTTCTTATTTGTTAGATACACATTGGAATGTTGGAAGTCAAATGCCTGAGGTTTTACTTCAAAACAATCTGGGGTGGTAGGACTGTTTGTAATTTATACTGGAAAATGCGTACTTTTTAGTTTGAAATTTTCAAAAAGTAAACCTTTACATTTAAAAAATTGTCTTCAGTACCTTACTTATAAACCTAGACTGTAACATAAGTCAAAGTATATTATCACAAAAGAAAAAGGATTTTTAGATTCTGTAATACACTGGGAACTCTACTCATCCATGTCCAACACACAGATTACATACATATTAATCTCTGAAAAGAGATACCTACTCTAAAGCTGCAGACTACTGCTACCTTTTAATTGCTGTCTTGACATTTATAACAAAACCATTCCCCACAGTTGAATACCTCCTCACCCCTCATGAGGGTCAAACCTTTTTTCTTTTAATCCACAATCCACGCTCAATGATTCCTTTATTAAGCAACCCCCCACTTGACGAGTTTATTCCTCAATTCTTAATCTCTACAGAGAACGGCAGCTACTCAATCAGGAAGCCTGGAAATCATTTTTAATTTTTTCCTTCCTTTCACCTCCTACATCCAAGCCATCAGCCAGTCCTGAAACACGTTAACTCAAATCTGTCTACTCTCTGCAGCTCTACTTACTTTCACCCTAATCCAAACTACCACCATCTATTGCCTAATCTACTAATAGTCTGTCTCCTTAATCCCTTCAAACTCTTGACTGCTACAGTCCATCTTCACAATTTATATTTACCTAAATATATACATTTACCTAAAACAAACCAGAATACCTATCGTCTTGTAGTAAAGAAGCAAATGTTTGAGGCATGTGCATTATCTTAATTCCCTTTGAGGACTGACACACATTAGGACAGAGCAAGGCTTATTAAACATTTAACCATGCCAATGGATTCACACTGGTTTGTTGCATTCTATTCACATTCACTTATTTGGTAGAAAGAAAATTGGCTCTAATTATGCAACTAAACTAGTCAACACTAAGATTCCAGACATGTAGTCATAAAACACCTGCGCTATTTTCCTATACCAGACTTTTTGTGAAAACCGCCACCGCTCCTTACTGCAATTCAAAATCAACTGGAAAACAAAGGCTACACAAAAACCTACAATTCTATTCTAAGCCAAAGTAAAACACTACAGTTCTGATTTGCAATCTCTGGGTTAATCAAGGAAGGTTCTATGAATTTAAAGCTCAATCCAATCTTCATGATTTAAAACTGGCTGGGACTTCTGGTGCTAGTGAAGACAGATCAGGTCCGCAACAGTCTGTGTCTGGTCTCTGTCTCTGTCTCTGTCTCTTCCTGGCTAGTGAGAACTAAAAACTGTGGACAAAAATACAAGAACCAATTTCCCACAAAAACCTCTACATGAATGTTCATACTATTGTTCACAATAGCCAAAAACTGGAAACAGAATGTCCATCAATGGATAAACAAATAAACAAAATGTGGTATATGCGTGCAATGGAATGTTAATCAGCAATAAAGAAATGAAGTACTGATAAATACTACAACATAAAAGAACCTTCCAATCATACTGTAAGAAAGAAGCCAGTCACAAAAGACCACATATTTTATGATTCCATTACAAAATTGGCAAATTCATAGAGACAGAAAGTACATCATTAGTGGTTGCCTAGGACTGGGGCATGGGAGAGGAGGTCAAAAAAGGGACTAAAAGCTAATGAGTTCAAGGTTTCTTTGGGAGGTGACGGAAATGTTTTGGGTAAATGAACTAAATAAAAACCACGGAAATGTATGCTTTAAAATGGTAACTTTTATGATATGCGAATTATATGTCAAATTTTTCTAAAAGCAACTGCCTAAAACACTGAAAGTTAAAAGCTGGCACACTGGGAAATCGAAACCTGACACATACAGAGGTACGTAGTGAAGACTTTACCCTTACCTAAAGATAGGTCTGGCCTTTGCTATTAGCTTCTACAAGATAATCACTAGCCCCAATGAGGGCCTTAGGCCAGCCAGATAGTAATATTGTAATTTAGAGTATAGGCTTTGAGCCACACCAACAATGTGATTTAGGGTGGGGGCCTCGGTCACATGGTATCAGGTGACCTCCAGAGGGGCTAGACACTGGAAATAGATCAACGACCTGGGTAACAAATCACACCTACGTGAGTGATGGATCCCCAATAAAAACTTGACACCAAAGCTCGAGTGAGATTCCCTGGCTGGCAAAATTCCATGCATACTGGCATACACTGATATTGATGATTAACATTGTCCCAAGTCAGAAAGAGAAGATGACTGAAAGCTCTGAGTTTGGTACTTTACCTTGACTCTGGCCTATGTGTCTCTCTTTCCTTGGCTAATTGGAATCTACATCCTTTCTCTGTATCCTTCCCATAACCATGACTATAACAGTTTCCACTGAGTTATACAAGCACTCCTAGCAAATTATTGAGCCTTGAAAGTATTCTTGGGGACCCCCTCACCAGGCAGTTGGTCTAATTAAGTCAGGGTGGTCATGAGAATTGTTCCCTCTAAGGTCACAGTTAGCCAACTGCTCACAGGGTGAGTTGTCTGGGTTTTTCTCTCACCATTTTGAAGAGCAGGCCCTAGATGAGATGTACTACTGTAGGAGATAGATAACATTCTGGAAAAAAAAAAAAAAAGCCATGACTTTCTGGCCAGAGACAGAGAAAAAAGGGTACTGCAGGGTAGAGTGGGGGAAGGAGAAGAACTGAGGGGGGTTCCAGAGACAAAAGAACCAGAGAAGGGAACCTTTTAATTCCCACACAAGGTCTGAGCTTATCCCTGGGTGGTGCATACTTGGGACACTCCCAAGCGACACAGCAAAGGCTTTGAGAACTGAACCTCTGCTCATATCTCAGACTCAGCATGAGTGGCACATGCATGGAACAACTCCAAAACAGCAGAAAAGGCTTTGAAAACTGAACAATTATTGATCCAGCTCCTATAGAGGTGAGACAGACCAGTAGTCTGAGAGAACAACTGGGTTTTTTGCCTATCAAAAAGAAATCACCATTCTACACAGATTTTTAACAGAAAACCAGAGTCTAAACAACTACTAAATACTAACACTAATAACACTAAAACACTCCTAACATAAAATACTAAAGATACTAATAACATAATACTAAAAATATCTAAAACACAAACTTAAAATTCTCCATAAACAAAGATCCAAAACAATGTGACAAATTCTCAAGGGAAAAGATAATCAGTAGTTGCCAATTGTGAAATTATCCAGGTGATGGAACTTATCAGACAAAAACTTTATACTTCATGTGGTAAAGATAAATAAAGTTGAAATTAACAGAAAGCCAAGAAGTTTACAACAGAAAAATAGAAACTTTACAAAAGAAACAAAACAGAAATTTTGAAATCAGAAGATGTAACATCAAAACTAAAAAATTCCACTGTACAGCCTCAATAGCTGAATATAAAGGCAGAAAAGAAAGTCAGGGGATTTGATGATAGAGTAACAGAAATGATCCATTCTGAAACACAGGTACAAAGTTTGGAAAAAATAAGCAGAGATTCGGGAAACTAATAAAATGCTCAAAAATAATCATGTAATTGGAAGAAGAGAAAATATGGTAAAGAAAAAAATAAACAACAGCTGACTGTTTGCCATATTTGATAAAATACATAAAGCTACTGATTCAAGAAGCTCAGTGAATGCTAAACAGATTGAACACAAAAAATCCACACCAAACATTGAGCTGCGAGCGGCTTCGGGGGGGTCTTTAGGAGTCAGCAACATGGCAGAAGACATCAAGAACAAAATCAAGAACTACAAGACTGCCCCTTTTGACAGCCATTTCCCCAAGCAGAACCAGACCAGGCACTGTTGGCAGAACTACCTAGAATTTCACCGCTGTGAGAAGGCAATGGCTGCTAAAGGGGGTGATATAGCTGTGTGCGAAGGGTACCAGTGTGTATATAAGTCCCTTTGCCCCGTATCCTGGGTGTCAGCCTGGCATGACCGCCGGGCAGAAGGCACATTTCCTGGGAAGATCTGAACTGGCTGCTCCCTGCCTGTCCTCTGTCTTCCATCCTTCTCCCGGGGAGTCAAGGGGGACCTGGGTATATCCCACCCTAGGATTCTGAATCATGGCTTAACTAACAATAAATACTTGTTGGAACAGTGTGTGGGAGAAATCCACACCTAGTAATATCAAAAATCAAACTGCTGAAAACTCAATATAAAGAAATTATCTTGAAAGCAACCAGAGAAAACAAAGTATTACCTGTATGAAAACAATGACTCAATGGGGTGGCTGGAGTTGGGGTCGGGGGAGTGGGGGGGGCGGGGGGGTAAATGCAGACAATTGTACTTGAACAACAATAAAATAATTTTTTTAAAAAGGCAATGACTCAAGCAATCAAGGATTTCTCATCAAAAACCATGGAGGCCATAATGGAGTGGAGCAACATTTTTTTAAGTAATGAAAGGAAGAACTGTCAACACAGAATTCAGTATGCAGCAAAAAAAAAACCCTTCAAAATAAAGCAAAATAAACAAAAGATATTCTCAGGCAAAGGAAAACTAAGAGAATTCATTACCAGCAGACCTGCGCAAAGAAATATTAAAAGGAAAGCTCCTCAGGCTGAAGGAAAATGATATTAGCAAAAAATGCAGAACTGAAGGAGAAGGAAGAGGAAAAGAAATGGTAAACATCTGGGTTAACACAGTTATTCTTTGAACCGTTTTAAGTGGAAAGTAAAATGAGTAACATTGTCTGGTGGGGAATTCCATGTATGAGATGTAACACATATGACAAGTATAACAAAGGGGATGAGTAACGGGAACATGGTTGCAAGGCCTTTACGTTTTATTTAAGGCGGTAAAATGTTAACTCTAGAAGTCAATGAAAGTTTGGGTGTATATTATATAATCTGTAAAGCAACCACTAAAAAACAAAGAGATGCAGCCAAAAAGGGAGGGAGGGAGGGAGGGAGGGAGGGAAGGAAGGAAGGAAGGAAGGAAGGAAGGAAGGAAGGAAGGATGGATACTGCAAAATACTCAATTCAAAAGAAGGCAATAGGGGGCAGAGGCAGTAGAGGAGACAGTGATATAAAAAGAAGGAAAAACAAAATAATAAAATGATACACCAAACCTAATCATGTCAATGATTATCAAATTGGATTTTAAAAATTACATTTTTAATGCTATTTTGTTAGTTAGCTGTGACAAAATATACTGAGCATACAAGTTACCATTTTAGCCATTTTTAAGTGTATAATTCAGTGTTATTAGGAACAATCACAATGTTGTGCAACCATTACCACTATTTCCAGAACTTTTTCATCATCCTCCAAAAAACACTGTACCAATTAAATAGCTTCCTACTCTCCCCTAGTCTCAGCCCCCCGTCAACCTCTATTACACTGTCTATAAATCTGCCTATTCTAGGTATCTCATATCAGTGGAATTGTACGATGCTTATCCTTTTGTGTCTTGATTATTTCACTTAGCATGTTAAGGCTCATCCATATAGCATGTATGAGAATTCCATTCATTCTTAAGGCTAATATTTTATTGAATGTATGTACCACATTTTTTATCCATCTTTTTTATTTTTAAAGATTTTATTTATTTTTAGAGAGAGGGGAAGGGAGGGAGAGAGGGAGAGAAACATCAATGTTGGTTGCTCCTTGTATGCACTCTCTACTGTGGACCTGGCCCACAACAGAGGCATGTGCCCTGACTGGGAATTGGACTTGGGACCCTTTGTTTCACAGGCCAGCACTTAATCCACTGAGCCACAGCAGCCAGGGCCATTCATCTCTTGGACATTTGGGCTACCTCCACTTCAACATTTTTTAAAATAAAACAATGTAGTATGGAATAATCAAAATTAAACAAGATTCTTCAAAATGAATGAGCACACAAAAAACTACAAAGAGAAAAAAAGAGTTGAAAGCCATGTATTGACTGAGAAATAAAAATAAAACTAAGAAACAGCACATCTGCGTCCTAGCTGGTGTGACTCAGTGGACTGAGTGCCAGGCTGAGAACTGAAAGGTCAATGGTTCAATTCCCAGTAAGAGCACAAGCCTGGATTGCAGGCCAGGTCCCCAGCTGGGGGTGTGCGAGAGGCAACCAACTGATGTATCTTTCACACATTGATGTTTCTCTCCTTCCCTTCTCTCTATAAACAGAGAGATCTGAGATCCAAACTGCTTTAAAAAAAACTTAAAAAAAAAAAATAACAGCACATTTTCAATAAGCACAGTATCAATTTTCATTCAACAACCTGCCTAAAAATTTCATTTTTTTTTAAGATTTTATTTATTTACTTTGAGAGAGGGGAAGGGAGGGAGAAAGAGAAGGAGAAACATCAATCTGTTGCCTCTCACATGCTCCCAACTGGGGACCTGGCCTGCAACCCAGACTTGTGCCCAATCGAACTGGTGACCTCTCAGTTCACAGGCTGGTGCCCAATGCACTGAGCCACACCAGCCAGGGCACCTGCCTACGATCTTTATTATAAGCCTACCACTTGATGTATCACAGAAGCAAAAGAATAAATTATAACTACATTTGAATGTGATCTTCCAACCACTGGTATTTCATATCCTCGTTAAGAAGTAGGTTTTCAATATCTGTTAAGTGCCAAGCACTATGAGGGAAGAAGGAAATGGAAGAGCAGACAATGTCACTGCCCTAATGGAGCTAGCTTAATGTAAGCTATAGAGAAGTTACATGAGTTTTTTAGGATCACAAAAATACGTAATTTTAAACCTTAAGTGCTAAGAAGAAACAACACAGAACATTATTAAATTAAAAAAGGAAAATGTGACCTAGAACAGAAAGTCAAAGTTTCCTGAAAAAGACATATTCAAACTGATACCTGAAAGATAAAAGTTAAGTGAGGGAAAGCACATTCCTTTGCTAAGGGGTCAGCATGTAAAAAGGCTGAGCTGTGAGGCAGATTCCCTACATATTTGGGAACTGACAAGCCAGAAACGATAAAGCTGTGAGAACAGACAAAAGTGCACTTAAGTTGGAGAGAAGGTAATGAGGAAAAAAAAAAAAAAGAAATGAGAAGGAAAGCTTAGAGAGAAAGGAAAGAGAGAAGGACTGTTTGTCGTTACTTCAGGTAACAAAAGTTTCAAGGAAAGAGCAGTCAGCTGTAATAAATAGTGCTGAGAAGAAAGGTAAAAACTGAAAGTCGCAGGGACTTAGCAAAATATAAGTCACTGATGACTTAGAAGTGTGTTGTGGTCACTTAACTGCATCGCCATCTTTTTTAATTTACTATGCTTTACTTATTTACAGTTCTTGCCTGCTCCCTAGAAATGACAGTTTAAAGTGGCAGTTCCTCACTGTTAGAGTTGGATGACCCTGCAACTGGCATTCTAACCTAAACTACTGGTGAGGTCTGATCTCTATATACCAGGTTTCCTGACTTATTTCCCAGTGTGTATCAAGTCTAATTTTATGAAGATGAAATCTCTAGTGCACTTCTATAAGACCCAATAGTACTATAAAAGGATATTAGAACACATTAGCAAAATTCATTCCTCAGAGTAATAATCACTTATTCTCTTTCCTATAGCCTTATACAAATTGATCTGTAATTCATTGGGTACTGTGCTTTAATTTTAATCTAATAAATCTAGCTAATTCAAATAAAAACTTAGAGCTATATCAATAGTAAGTTTTTAAGTAATTTATAAAAAATGTTTATAAGCTAATTCTTCAAATCCATTTTAATGTTTTAATTTACATATGTTCACAATTTTTCAGGGATATAAAGTGAGATACACTAATTTATATTTTATATTTTAATTAATAAAGCAAACCTAATTTATTCCCAGCCTATTGACATTTGGCCACAAATCAAAACAAAAATTTTTAACTGCATTATCAAAGGCCAATAAAAACTCTTAAATTGAATATCATGTTAAAGAAAATGAAAACTGAAATCTACAACATACAATATGATTTATCAAAAATGTACTGTTGTTTATTCACAAATATATCTATTTCTCAATAGGAATACTACTGGCATTTGAGCTGAACAATCCCTCAATGTGAAAGACTGTCCAGCATGATGGAAGACAGCATCCCTGTTACCTTCCTACTAAATGCCAGTGCTCCCTTCTTTCTAGTCACTGTGACAATTAAAAATAGCTCCCCACAATTCTAAACACTTCCCCTAAGGGTGTTATACAAAACCACCCCAAGGTGAGAACTAGTAGCAGTTTTATTTTTTTTTTAAGATTTTATTTATTTTATTTTTAGAGAGGGAAGGGAGGGAGAAAGAGAGAGAGAGAGAGAAACATCAATGTGGGGTTGCTGGGGGTCATGGCCTGCAACCCAGGCATGTACCCTGACTGGGAATCAAACCTGCGACACTTTGGTTCGCAGCCCGTGCTCAATCCACTGAGCTACACCAGCCAGGGCCTAGTAGCAGTTTTAAAGCACCAAAACCTTTTCTATGCTAATGAAAATATCTGTAATACAGACTCCCAGATTTCTGCCTTAACCGACAAATTATATTGAACACAATTTTAACATTTCTTGATGATAAAAGGTCTTGGTTATGAACAGTGACTATTATGTGCTATTGTAATATAATAAGACTCTTAGAAATTAAAGTATGTTTACCTTTGATATTACATTAATTGACCCCACCCTTGGGTATTCCATTATAGTCTTTGTGGCCAAGGTTCTTTCTTTCTAGACTACCTACTTGTAGCACTCTTTCTGCACTTTGACTTTTTATCTGCTAATGACCAAGCTTATTAAATCAAAAGCCTGACTTGATAGATGAAGGCTTGAAGATGGCTCTAGGCCTTGCTAAGAATTAAAGTGCATGGGTGTGAAGACAGTTACCTTCTAAGAATTTTTTAAAACTTACTTTTGGTTTTATAACTGTACTAGGACTGAAAACTTCAAACATCTGACAACTGAATAAATCAGAAATTAACAATGCAGTTATCACTAAGCAATCAATGTTCAGAACTAAATTATACTGCTACACACTATAAAATACTCTAATTATGTATTATAATTATTACTAATATTTAAATAACTCACCTGATTTCTTTTAGTCCTTCTCTCTGGATAACTTGAAGAATTTCTTTATGACTCATGGGTGTATTGGGGTATTTTTCTAAGACCTGAGAAACAAGTATATAATAATAAATTATTTTTTATTTTAAGTGCTATTCTTATTATAATTATATATTTAAGTATTTTCTTTATTCTCATTAAAACTATGTATTAATTTCATCCAACATATACATTACAGAGATTTTTCATCCCTTATATTTTGGGGTGATAAGTAGAAAATTAATGAAATATAAATAGGATCTTCTCTCCTTCAGTCACAAACAAGTCAAACCTGAAGCAGAAATAGATCAAAAGGATGATTAATAACTCAATTATTCATTAATACAAAATACGAAATTATGAGTACTTGCTGCTTCCACCCTTACATCACATGCCTACCTGTGAACTTACTATAAGCACCTTAAAGATGATCCGTCTTAACATTTCCAGCAAAGCCTAGTACAGCATGGATGTTCAAAAACCCGTAACCAAAACAAATTAGCAATATAAATAAAATCAAAATGGTATCTGTGTTCTGGTTCTGATAAAAACGAAGTAATCACAGTTTATCCTGTCTCTCCCACTCAATACATACAAATAAAACCTAAGCAGAATACATGCAGCAACTATCCAAGGACTCTGAAAATGGTAGCAATTGGTTTGAGGGAGGAAACAACTAATAGTCTAACCCAGCAGTGAATTTCATGGTTTTGTTTCCCTTGGGACGACTCAGTCTAGACTCAATGGCAGCCCAAACTCAGAAGTGCACTTTAAGTGAAGTGAGAAATAGCTTGAAGTCCTCTCTTTTTTGGTCTGAGGAGTAGTGAAGGGGGAAGAGGATCCTCTGGGGTTTCTTTTCCCCCCCTTTCTCTTGGGCGCTGTCCCCAGGCAATCCAAAGGCAGCAGTTTGTGGAGTGATGATAACAGCAATGGCTAGACAAGAACCTAATACTCAAGAAAGCAGAACCCATCAGGCCCTATGAGTGTGAAGGGAATCCCCATGGCTTATATTCTTTCTCCTCCATCCTGCTGCTTGGTATAGAAGGCAGATGCAGTAGTGAAAGTATGCAACAAAACAGACATGACAAGGGAGAAGGATCTCTAGGAACCAGAAAGTGTCAAGGAACTTGCAAAAAGGAGCTCAAGAAAGAGATACCATGAAGTTCTATAAAAACTCCTGGGGTCACTCCAAACTATGCTTAGGTGTATCTAGCCCTCAACACACTGCTTATCAGGTTCCCAAATTAGTCACTAGATGGTGCATACACAGATCAGATGCGAAGGGCACAATGAAGACTGTGAAAACTAGACATCAGAATTTTAGTGTTTAGAAGATAGGTAGAAATTGTGACCTGAACCCAGTGAGGCAAATGTCTGCCTAAAAAATCCTCCCATCCCTCAAAACCAAAAAAAAAGTAACATTCTCCTTAGGATTGAAAATGACAGTATCATAACATCACATCAAAATACCTAATATACATACTATCCAAAATCACATATGAATAACCAGGAAAATCTCAATTATCTCACAAGGGGAAAAAAACAACCTACATACAACAAACCCAAGATGACAAAGATGTTGGAATTATCAGACAAAACTTTAAAGCAGCTATTATAACATTGCTTCAGGGAGTTGGGAAAAGCCCTGGCTGGTGTAGCTCCGTGGGTTGGAGCTTCATCCAGTAAAATGAAAGGCTGCACGTTTGATTCCTGTCAGGGCACATGCCTAGGTTGAGGGTTCAGTCCCCAGTCAGGACATGTACAAAGGGCAAACTATCAATGTTTCTCTCCTTCCCTTTCTCTCTCACTAAATATCAATAAGCACGTCCTTGGGTGAGGATTTTTTTTTAAAAAGTTGGGAAGAATACTCCTAGGAAAAAATAGGTAAGCATTTTTCCAGCAGAAAAATAAGATTACATATATTATGTGTCTGTGTGAAACAAGACAAATTTTTCTTTTTTTCGTTTCTTCGCAAGATAAAATTTTAAGACTAAAAAAATACAAGAACGTAAATAAACGCAAAATTCCTTGGAGGGACACAATTTCAGAATGGAATAACAGAAAAGCGGGTGAATTTGAAGATATAAGAACAGAAATTATCCAATCAATGAACAGAGGAAAACTGATAAAAAAAAAATTAACAGAGAACGACAAAGTAATAAACAGAAACTGACATCTTAACAGTTTCAATTGTTCCTACTCTCTGGTGACCTCAAGTGTTCCTTTGGCTGGTAGATGCCTTTTTCCTTGTGTCGTTACATGTCTTCCCTTTTTACCTGTCTGTCTTTGTGACCAAATTTCCCCTTTTAATAAAGACTCAATTGTGTTAGATTAGAGTCTGCCCATTATAATGACCCCATCTTAACCTGATCATCTGCAAAGACCCTACTTTCAAAAATAAGATCACATTCCCCCACAGGTACTGGGGATTTGGACTGAAACCTTTTTTTTTGGGGGGGGGGGGGGGGCACGAGGGTTGACACATAATTTTAAAAGAAAAAGAAAAAAAATAAAAGAACAGAGTTAATGGGACAATAACAAAAGGTCTAACATTCATGCCATCAGAGTCCCAAAAGGAGAGGAGACAGAACGGAGCACAGAAAACATTTGTGAAGAAATAGCAGAAAACTTCCCAAACTTGCTAGATTAAAATTTTTTAATCTTAAAATTTCACTTAACACTTAAAATTTCAGGAAGATCGATTAATCTCAACATGAGTTCAAAGAAATCCATACCCAGATATATCAATAAAAAAAAATCTTGAAAGCAAGCAAGGAAAAAACAACATTCCATTTTGGAGAATAACAATTTAAGTGGCTGTGGATTTCTCATCAGAAATCATGGAATGCAGAAGCAGTGGAAAATCATGCTCAAGAGCTGAAAGAAAAGGACCCAACAAAGCAAAATTCCCATCTAGCAAAAATATCCTAAAAAATGAAGCAGAGCCCAGTGCAGCTCAGCAGGTTAGGTGTCCTCCCGCAAACCAAAAGGTTGCTGGTTGACTCCAGTCAGGGAACATACCTGGGTTTCTGTCCAGATCCCCAGTGCCAGGCATGCAAAAAGGAACTGATCGAGAGGTTTCTCTCCCTCTCATTCTTTCTCCCTTCCCCTCTCTCTAAAAATAAATAAATAAAAGCTTTCAAAAATTTCTTGTATGCCTTTTTAGTGATGACTTAGCTGATTTTCTGCTCTTTAATGAAATAAAACAGAAAAAAGTTAGTTAAAACTACTTAAGGGATGTTGATTTTCCTTTAAAAAATGTTTATCGCTAGTTCCTTTACATACTAGACATTTAAAATTGATTTTCATTTACAAAATTATTTATGATAAATTTTCTCAATATTTATAACTATAACCCTGGCTGGTGTGGCTCAGTGGATTGGCACTGGCCTGTGAACCGAAAGGTTGCTGGTTTGATTCCCAGCGGCATATGCCTGAGTTGTAGGCCAGGTCCCCAGGCAGGGGTGTGTGAGAAGCAACTGATCGGTCTATCTCTTGCACACAGATGTTTCTCTCCCTCTCTTTCTCCCACCCTTCCCCTCTTTCTAAAAATAAAAATCTTTAATTAAAAAAAGTGTAGCTTCCCTTTCAATTGCTTAATATTTTTCCATCTTTTCATTTATATTTGACTCTCTTAATTCACTAATTTTTAATAAGAAAGTGTACAGACATAATGAGAAAAATATAAACTAGTAAAACCCAAGAGGGAAAAATGGAGAAAAACACAAAATGGCTGCATATATTTCTTAGCAAAAATACAGTACTATTGTAATATTACTACTGTATTATAATACTATTGCCATTTTTTTTTTACCACAGATTCCATGTAAGTGGCAATACTAGTTTTATAAAAACATTTAGCTTAATTTAACCACAGGAGGGCAGTGTTTATCAAACAAAATATCATTCCATTGGAACTGTTTATGGAACTACATAATTCAATTTTTAGAAACTATGACAATCTGAATAACTGCTCAGAAGAATTAAAATCAACACTATCCAAAACTAAAGCATAACAGATTGTTTTTAAAAGCATGCCTAACATATATATATATATCTTTACTTACAGAATCTCACATCCAGCTAATAAAAAGGATATAAAAATTGTACTTTCTGAGTAAAGAATAATCTAGATAGCCCCTAAGATTTGAGCTTGACTCTAGCCTCAATGACACTGGTACTTCAATTACTGCTGCACTTATGAGTTACTTCCAGATATGCACAGATATATAAAGCCTGCATTTTGTGTAGCCTAGGTAATTTTATTTTACATTTAAAATGTACAGAAAAAACATGGAAATCTTTATAGATTTACTTCAGTGTTATATGGTTTATTTACTGTCCAAAAGCTTTAAAACCAATGTCACAGTAGTGAATGAGTTCACCCAGAAAATATGCAGAATGAGAAGTGATGACAGCCTATGCTACAAAACCAATACACCAATGTTTAAGAGTAAGAGAAGAAAAACTAGCAAATAAACTAAGGAGTACCAGTGAAACTGGGAAAAAATCAGAAGAACATGTGTGTCAGGAAAAACAAAAGCACTCTAAGAAGGATAAAGTGATCAACAATGTCAAAAACGTCCCAGAAGTTGAAATAATTTCAAAATCCACTGTATTTAACCATGAGCTCTTTAATTAGTCTTACAAATTCCATTTAATCAGGAGGGAAGAAATCAAACTTGAGAGGGTTCAGCACTGAATGGGAGGTCCAGAGGTGGCAACAGGGAGTTAACACAACTCCTAGAACAGTGAAGGAAATAAATATGTCAAGGAATTTTGTCAAACAGATCTGAAGAAGTTTCACTGGACAAGGATAAAAGGAGACGGAAGTAGCCCTCACTACCTTAACTTTCCCCAGCCCAAGATGAGAGGCAAATACAACAGATTCAGATACAAATGAAGGACAAATCCCTCATTATCAAACTTGTGCTAATTTGACACGCAAACAAAATTAATTCAGAGGATGCAGTATCCCTCACCTACCAAATCCACTTTACAAACAGTCACGGTGTGAGTTCAGGAGCTGAACAGATAACAGCAAGGAATACACGGAATTTAGGCAGAA